CACCCGCACATTGCCAGACAAAAACATTTGTTCGGACGAACATTTGTTCGGGAAAATGTTCGGCAATGTGCGCCAGGCTTAAGCGGTACGGGGTGATTATTATATTTATAGGACGAGTAACATCATGAAGAAGGCAGATGGGAACGTGTAAAATCATTAGGTTAGTTAGCAGTTTGCTTATACATAGATGCCAGCACACGGTGGCATCTGGTAGGTTTGCGACCATCGTCACGGTAGGTATCGTGTGTGTGAGCGCGCTGTGTGTTGTATGTATTGTAGCAGCTACTTCATTGCTGAGTGTGGGGAACACAATACTGTACGCGCAAAACCGCCTGCCACGCGAAGGTATTATCAATTCAGGGTTACTGAGACAAATTCTTATTGCGTGGGTGAAGTTTGTGTCGTCACACTCATAGTACTAGTAAGAACTAATCGTGAAGTTACGACGTGAAATTAATGAATTCATGCATTGCCTTATTGCTTTATGATGTGGTTTTTAATTTGAAGCATTGTTGACACAAACAAAAGGGCAATGGAATGAAATGGAGTTTTTTTGGTTTTCAACTTTTACAACATTAAATCAATTGTCGTTGATATCTGCATGCGTGGATTCCAATACATAGCAATAGTTTATCGACGTGGCTCTGCCTGATGTTATACCATGTTGGTTGGTTGGCTGACGAGGCGGTGGTTGAAGCAATGAGGATGAGAGAGGAACGGATGCTGCAGTACTCGCAGCATCTTTTCTTTCTAAATGCGGATCATGTAGACATTACTATTGCTAGGCAAATAAGCAATGTAACCTTGTTGTGTCGTGTCTCTCCGTGACAGGATATCGCACTTTTATACCACATCATCTGTTCAGATTTGCGTGTTCATATATGCTGGTTACAGCACTTGTGTTAGTAGTGTACACAACTAGTAGTGAATTGTCACCACAACAATAGAAATATACATCATATATATTCCTCTGTAGGATTGAAGCGAAACACATGCTTTACCCGTCGTCTGCTTGTCAGTAACACTGTGTTTACCGAATACAGATGAAGTTATAATGTGTAGCTTTGTGTTATGTGGAACAACGGAATGTTGAAGAAACAGACGAACAGTTCACAAGTCAATATGTCTGTGGTACGACTGAAGCCACATATACATATATATATATATATATATATATATATATATATATATATATAGTGCTGCGTGTCGTTTACCGTTGATCGCAGGTAGCCAGGTGAAACAGCATTCACCCGTGATTCATCTACAAAAAATCAGTAGAACTGTACACCTATTTTGTGATGCTGTTACTGTCGACATGTTGTTAATGTCAGTTGTTGTGTCAATGTATCAGAAATTAGCTGTCTTTCATTCATGATGATCCGTGCACGTGAAAACGTGAAAAACTACTCGTGAAACCTTTGTAGTACGGTCCAGGCGAAACAGCACAAATGAGCAAAGGTGTTACTGCACTGTCTGTGTAGATGCAACAGCCATGTTGGATGTAGATGATAAATGCTTGCGTGTTTGGCCATCACCTGCATTATTCGTGAACATCGTTACAGATGACAAGATAAGCAATGTTGGGAATGTTGCATGGTGATTGCGGATGATCGATTCGATTCGAATTGCCTCGGTTTTGCGGCATATGCGGAGAAACGAGAATTGAATGAGACCCCGAGAAATATAGTGGATGGACGCATGTGTTTTTCTGGTATGAATGTTGGCCATGGAGGGAACGTGATATAACTCAAATACCATGCAGAAACGTCCCATAAATGGTCGTGATCCAACATTATTAGTTACACATATATAAAATATACACCTATGGTACATTCATTTGCTAGACAGTAGCAGTGATATGTAGTTGTAAAATGTATTCACTTGCTACACAGTGATACATGTGTACATACATTGGGGTGGCTTACATAGTGATACACATACAGTGCATTAATTAATTACACAGCTTATTAGTTACATAGTAATACTCATGTATGATACATTAACAATATGTATAACACAAATGTATTTAAGATTATAACAAAATAATACTAACAAAATTCATATCAGCACTACACTGTGGTTGGTATGGCAGTTGATGGAGCACACTATCTTGTGACTGGATGTTGGGAAGAGGAGGAGAGGGTGACGGGGTGGCAACATTCTCTTCTCTCGCCAACATGGAACCGTGATCATATCTCAGAGATAGCGTGGCAGCTTGTCTTGTTCCTAGGCTTATCGCTTGTACTTGTAGCCATTACCTATGTGCGTGAGCGTGCATGCGTGCGTGTGAGCGAGCGTGCGTGCATGTGCGTGCGTGTGTGTGCGTGCGTGCATGTGCGTGCATGCGTGTGCGTGCGTGCGTGCGTGCGTGCGTGCGTGTGCGTGCCTGTGTAGCTACAGCAGAGCCACATTGTGACAGTTGTTTCCTTTTATGAAGGAACTCTGCGTGAGAAACCGCGCGGCGGCCGTACGGAACACTGGCCGTCAGACGGAGCAGCAGCAGTGCAGAGTAGGGCGGTGTGTAAGCGTGACGCGCACGGTAGACCGCGCGCCCGGCAGCAGCAGCAGCAGCAGCAGGGACCTCCCCTTCCTCCCGGCGCTAGACTAGGAGCGGCATCTGCGGAGCGTAAGGTGGAGGAGGGGGCGCCACCGTTCAAGCAGGAGGAGCGCGTTTCCGCCGCCGCCGCTGACGGCAAGCAGGACTTGATGCTGTCACTGCTGTACGAGATCCGCGAGGAGCAGTGGCGGGCGCGGGGAGAGCGGGCGCGCATGGCACACGCGCTCGACAGGGTCTGCGGCGTCCTGCACCCGCACGCGTCTCCTCCGCCCCCGCCGCCGGCGCCCCCTGACGACGACGACGTGAGTGCGCCTCCGTACGACGCGATGGACGGGTTTCGTGTCTGCGAGCCAGCGGCGGCGTTCGCCGCGGGAGATGCGGTGGCGACGGTCGCGATACCGGGCCCTAGCGGCGGCGGCGGCGGCGATGACGACTCCGCACAGAACTGCATCGTTTACAAGGTGGAGGAAGATGACGCGGTTGTCATCGACGACGACGACGAAGACGAGAACGACTACGGCCCGATCGCGGAGCTGTACGACGGGGGCGTCAACGATGCGGCGGCGGAGGCTGCGCGGCTCGTGTGCAGCCTCGAGGACCCCGTCGCCAGGTTGCGCCACCGCGGCGCGATCACGTACGGCAGCAAGCCGGAACCCGAGGAACAACGCGTGTTCAAGATGTTCCAGGACACGCGCAACGCGAAGCTGTTCGCGCTCAAGCTCCTCGGAGCGTTCTTCACGAAGCGCGAGCTCGCTCTCTCGAACCTCTACGGCGGGAAGGTGCACACGGGTAAGATGTGGGCTGAGAAGCGAGCGCTGGAGCCGGCGCGCATGCGACGCGTGTTCACGTACCTCGAGCAGTACTACCCGGGGTGCCGGGACCGCCGGCGCGACGAGGCGTACATCCGCGACGCCATTAACAACAAGTGCCGCAACTCGCTGCGATGGATCCGCGAGAACCCGCTGCTAGACGACTGAGCGACACGCGTCGTCCGTATGACAAACTAGAACTGTGCTTCACCAGCGATACTTGACGACTGAGGCGCGCGCGTGCCATATTAATATATGACTAACTAGGACTGAGTGCCGACAAAAAGCTGGGACCGTGCGCCTGCAATAAACTAGGATTGAGTGCTTACGACAAACTTAGACCTGGTGCCTACAAGAAACTGGGACTGAGTACTTACAACAAACTAGGACTGTGCATCGCCTATGACACTAGGTCTAGGTGGCTTAGAGCACACCTTCATGAGCTGTGGCAGCCAACGACAGCGCGTGTGTGAACTATGATGTTTGATGACCGGGTGACCACGTGACCTGCCTCACTCAAATGACCGAGCGTCAGTGTGACCCCCCCCCACTCATGGACTGAGCGCGTGCGTTACCTACCCAGTCAACGACAGTACGTGTGTGACCTCCCTAGCTTAATAGCTGAGTCCTGGAGGCGACATAACATCTTCAAAGATGTTTGAGGGACAAACTTAAGAATGGGCAATGTTCCGAACTCTCCTAGTATTCAAATAAAGGCTCGCTCGCGCACTGTAGACGCGCACGCATCCTACGCTGCAAGGGTATGGATCGTTTGTGCGATGCGATCTCCCTCTGTAATTAATTTCTTCAGTCAGGCCATCCTTAAAAAATTATATGTTTGCTGTCCTCCGACCGACCTACGAAAATAGCCGCGACCCAAAAGTTTTTTTAGATATTTTGGGTTTCATTTTTTAAATATTTTTTTATACATTTCTCATAGTTAAGACTGAAACACAAAGCATGTGTGGCAAACATGAGGACAGACTTAAAATAACTATTATGCCTCGAAAAAAAAGACCTACCTACCTACCCACTAAAAAAATCATGGGTCGGGGGATAGCAAACATAGAATTTTTTAAGGATGGCCTCAGCTCTGTAACCGCTCTTATTTTCTCAGCTGAACAAGCGGCGCGAGTTTCCAAGCATTCTAAGATCGGTTTCGGATGTCATACTTTTTAACTAGAGTAATAAGGCATTTGATTATATTTAGGCAAATAATATATGAGAAGCGGCTTTGTATAATTTGTATTATACGTGCACTGGGTAGTAACTCGCAGTTGAGAAAATTTGACACTGAAGTGGCGCTCTCTCTCATGCTGTCTGAGAATGGAAAATGTAATATTGGTGATCTCCTTTCCCAGGCTTTGCGTGGAATCCTCACCCCCTCAACCACTCTGTGGTCATCTGAGCCTCTTCCCCAGGCCTTGTAAGGAACTCCTTCCCCCCCCCTCGTTCTGTGTGGAAACCAATCATGAAACCAGGGAACCCTCCTCCACACCTCACACCATTTCACGATGAGTACACCGCGCTAGCTGTGGGCGTTGTTTCGCCGTGCACCCAGTCCATGCACACCCTCACGGACCTAGTAAGGTATATTAGGACACTCTGTGTTCCTAGGCATATATTCTACGGCATTACGGCAGTACTCGGCAGGGTTCTCCAAGCTTTTTCATTATAGCATGGCGGGTGCTGCCTTTACGGTCCTAGTTGCAAATCGCCGAAGGCGGTTTGTGTGCTAGAGGGGTCCGGGGTCTATGATATTTAGCATGGCGGCTATGATATTTAGAGTGGCGGGTGCATTTTAGGATGGCGGGGCGGGGATGGGAGTGCTCTTGTTGAACCCTGCTCAGCGGGCGGGGCGGTGCTACGCAAACAAACAGGCCCCGAACAAACACTCGGCACAAGGGTCCGACGAAAAAAAACTACCCCTCGAGATAAAGAGTGATTTTACGAGATTAGAATTGTCGGGTTTCGCCGCCCCCGAACGTGGCGATCGCGTGAACTAACGTGCTGAGGTGTGGGGCAGGACCAGCGTTGCTGCTCCGTCAATCTATAATATACTATAATACTATAACCAAGTAAAACTTTAATTGACTTGTCCGTCGGAGATGTGACCACACCCACACCTTGTATATTGTTGATAGGTTGGTCAAGCCTGACCCGGGTTTTGCTAGTTTTTCGTGCAGAACGTCACAATGTTGACTTTATTGTCAAGCATTGTTTTTAGAGTGCTCTATCGCAACAACGATTGGCTAGAGCCCCCTGTTCGCTGTGACGTGAGGCAGATTAGCCATTTGTCTCTATCGAGTAGTACGGATCATGTGTGATGCAGATCGTGTTACCTTAGCCGTAACCCTAACCCTAGCCCTAATCAACCACATCCAATTGTTACTAGCTATAGCCTGCTCCTGGCAGCACCTACACTCCTACCAAGTATTATCATAATCGCCCTCAACCAGTTGGTCATCAATCGTGGCAACAGTCCCTTGTTTAGATATGAATCTACACATATCACCTTGTTAACACAAATCCTAGCTCTCAAGTGTTCGTAGAGCATGTATGTAGCTGAAAATTAATCGAGCGTTCTTTTAGTTGATGAATTGCGTTTTTATGATTGGGTTTTTATGCGATGCATCATGTTTTATTATTTGTTAGTCTTTTTACTGAGGATTGGGGGCAAATATTTACTTGTACTTACACGTTTATGTTATTCTAATATATATACATAAGTAAACACATGTGTATACCTATAGAAAGAAAAAAATATATAAATAAACTGCCGTCAGTAAGTATAAGGTAATCATTTATGATTTATTATGATATGTTATAAGAGACTGCTAATAAGTATTGCTTACGTGCACACATAGATACAGGTTAATTAGTGGGTGGGAACAGATAGTTTTTGTGTAGAATGACAGGGGCTGACGTTTCCTACACACTTCACTGCATAAAAGTACATACATGTAAAATTCCTGGACTCGTGGGTATAAAATCATACGTGCATTCGTTAGTTGTAGGTAATGGTGAACTGGTGCTGGCGGTGATCAGGGCCGTACTGCTGATAATAAAAGCTAGACCCATCTTGTCGAAACAAGTCAACACGCGACATTATGAACACCGGACATGAGTGAGCGTATGAGCAACTACACACTCACACGCACGAACATCTATCCACGCACGCACGAACATCTATCCACGCACGCACGCACTCATTACTGCCATCTCAATCACTGCTGCTTACTGCGAAATATAAAAACATTCGCTATTAAACTCGCCAAGCGTGACAAATCACCGCAACCTCTACCGTGACTGTACCGGTTTGACTATAAAACTGTGTCTGCATCCAGAAAGATTGCAAAAGTCTCGTTGCGTTCTCATTAAGCGCGCAGACGTAGCGTTGTTGTTGTTGCCGTCTCATTGATTAGAATTCGACGCTATGCATTGTTTTTGGCGGCATTGGATGCCAGGGCGGCATCATGGCGGCGCGTGCGTCGTAACGCGCCTAGCTGTCGCGACATTTCCGTCGCATACATCGACGCAGTACGCAAATACGTCGATTATGTTGTACATCGTTGTTTCGCCGTGTTGTGGCGCGGCGCCGTGCGCGTCTTTGTGACAGTGTTTGTTATCTTGGCAGGGACGCGAGAGCGAGTCTCAGTGCAGTTGGTGACATTAGTTTCCTTTTCACGAAGGTGACAAGCAGCCGATCGCATTCTCGTCAAACGGACCGCGAAGCTTGGAGGCGGTTAGACGCCATCCGTCCGATCCCGGAAACTCCTCCTGCTCGGGAAACGAGGCGAAGATCGCGGGGGAGCGCGCGCGAGAGGCGGCGGCGCGTCCGCCCGACGCCGCGCGACGACGCACCACCACGCCGCGCAAACCCCCGCCGCCGACGCCGACGACGACGACGACACAGGAGAAGGCGGGGAAGTCCGACGACGAGGAGGAGGACGAGGAGGAGGAAGAGGAGGAGGAGGAGAGATCGGGCTCCTCTTCGCGGCAGATCCCGCTCTTCCAGCTTCCTGCGTTCACGCGCAGCGAGGATCTCATCATCTCGTTGCTCTGCAACATCCGACACTGCCTCGATAATATGGTCACAGAACAGCGTGCCGCGAAGGTCGACCGATCGAAGATCCTATCCAAGATGGCGCTGTCGGACGACGTGCGCGCCGCCATCAACCAGAAACTAGACAAGCTGTTCGGCGGCGTCGAACGGACGCTCGGCGCGAGCGAGAGTATAGATGGCGCCAATACCGCGCTCGCGGACAAGGTGGTAGAGGCGGCAATTGAGAGCCTCGTGTGTCAGTCGGAGCGCGGCGACGCCAGGCACGCGGCCGCGCAGGGGGCGCCGGCGTCGCTGCAGCGCGAGGCGGAGACGTGTGACGATGTGACGCTCCCTGAGGTGACGCCGCCTGGGGACTGTGTGATCGCTCCGCAGCCGCTGCTGGTGCTCTCTGCGCGCACGCTCAACCACGTCGATGCGGCCGGTGGCGCCCCCGACGGCTCGTGCACGGACGTCGTGCTCGCCTCGCAGATACAGTCCTTCGTTGCCGACGACAACAACGTCGCCGCGAGCGATCACCAGGGGGCGCTGAGCATCTACGAGCCAAACTCGCTGTTCCCGCCTCCGCAGAAGCACCACCACCACCCGCACCACCACCACCACCAGTACCCGCTGAAACAGGAGAAGAGCGACTCGCCGCTCGACGCGGTTGCCCCCGGCGACGACGACGACGACGACGAGGAAGGCATCGACATGCGGCTGCTGCAGCTCGGTTACTACGCGGCGGACGCTCGCGCCGACATCGCCGTCGCTGACATCGCGGACGTCCTCGGCGAGCTGACGGAGGACCGAGCGCGCATGCTCGCCGCCGAAGCCAAGAGTCCCCGCCAGCTGGCGCTGAAGCTGCTGAGCGTCTTGTTCACGAGGGAGGAGCTCGCGAAGAGTAACATCCGCGGCGGCGAGGTGTTCACGGGCAAGTCGTGGATCGTGAAGGAGCCGCTGGACCCGCAGAGGCTGCTGCGGATGTTCAACGTGTTGGAGGAGTATTACCCGGGGTGCATGACGCAGAACGAGAAGGACATACGTAACGGCATCAACGCCAAGTGCCGGCAGGTCCAGCAGCTCATGGCCAAGTCCTCGCGCACCTTACAGAACTGAGGCGGGGCGGGGCGCGGGGCGGGGCGCGGGGGAGGACGAACAATGCACACGCGTGTACTGGACGCGCGATAGAGTATATAGCGTTTGTACCCGGGGGGAAGGGGGGATGTATATACATATATATGTGTATGCATATATGTGAATGTATGTATATGTATATATATATATATACCTATATATGTGGGAACACGCTTCTTTGATGATCGGGAAATACAGAGGTAATGTTTCCAGCTTGTTGTGTTACCATCTCTTCACCAGCCATCCCGCCGTTCCCAAAAGTTTATCCTTGAGGAATCGATGGGAGGATTCCAGGAGATGCTTGTTAGTAAAGGACGCACAGGGGGCGGGGGAAGGGTTGAAGAAATTTAATGAATTCCAGTACGTGATACCGCAGATGAAGTGATGAAAGGTGTTTTAGTTAGAGCGATTCTATCGTAGACTTGCACGGCACGCTCAATGTTTTACTGTCCGATATTACGTTCACAGCTATTTCTACGTGTCATCGTCGTCTAGACGAAACATTGATGTAGTGCCAAGTTTCGTTGTAGTACATGTCCTAAACGTGTCAGTACGTCCACGTGCATAATTGTTAAGATTGTATTTTGTATACTGCTACTTATAAATACGGTTTACGGTGAAACAGTTTTAAATTCTACGGTCGTGTACGTACGTGTGTGTATCATCGCATGTTGGTGTAACCAAAATCCCCGCCCGA